TGGACTTTTCCAGTCTCTTGCAAAATTTGTCAAGTGATGCCAAACTGTGACGGATACAGTAAGGTTTCTTTAAGAATTGTGTCAGGGTGAGTCAGAAACAAACTTCTTCAAAAGGGAGGAGTCATTCCCTCACATTTTAAAACATGGGTTGAAAATTTAGTGTCAGTTCATCAGAACTTTGGAGGCAAGGACGTCAAGTGTATGTTAGAATCTCCAAGCAAAATGTTGTCCCCCTGGCCCTGGAATCAGTACTCTGATGGCTAGTTAGCTTTTCTCCTGGACATAGCTAACTCCACAGATTTTAAAGGAATTCTAGAAGCCCATCTCCTCTGAACAAGTTGAGAATTCAGGCTGAGGTCCCTGAAAAAATAATGCCTGGATGTTACAGGATTGAGGATTCTTTTAGGTGCTTAGTGGGCGTCTGTGTCTGTTTTGTGTATAAATTAGGAGCAGACTTGGGATGTTCTACCATCCTATAAAATAAATGGCTAGTATGCAAATTGTCAATTCCACTGGATGTTCCACTAGCTGTCAGGGCCAGCCAGCCAACTGCCCACGGCACTTCCCCTATGGTGGGCCAGCCTAATTGGCCTTGATCAGAGTGGTCCAGCCAGACCCCACCCATGCACAAATTTGTGCACTAGGCCTCTAGTCCAATATGATAGCTACCAGCCACATTGTGACTACAGAGTGCTTGAACACATGTTAAAATGATAATAGTTTGAATATATTATGTCAAATAAAATATTATTAGAATTAATTTCATCTGTTTTTCTTTCCTTTTATGATGTGAGCATTAGAAAAAATTCAATTGCACATGTGACTTAATTGTGTTTCTAATGAATAGCACTCTATTAAATACTTATTCAATATACTCTTGCTCAGTGACAAGAAACTGTCCACTTAGATGAGTGAGTACAGTAGAGTAAAAAAATATCAAGACTCAAGCTGTTTTAGCTGAATACAAAAAAGCCAAATTTGACCCAAGTCACTAAGAAAGGTGTTTTCATCTTAATAATCATAATCTACTAGTATCACATTTTTGGGTGGATCTGCTACCAAGAATTTCCCCTTTTTTCCCCAATCACAATACACTTCTTCATATTAGTTA